TGGTGAGACTAGTCATTATGACATAAATCTTAGGGCTGTATGGGGAAGTATGGCTACAGGAAATGGCGCCTCTCATTTAAATGAGATTCTTGCAACCATGAACTCGCCAGGAATTAAAAAAGGTACTTTTAGCACTATTGAGCACGACATCAGTGTGTGGTGGAAGGAAGCTTTAGAGGAGGAGATGAGACAGGCTGGGGAAGAAGAAAGGCGGATAGCAATCGAGTGTGGTGACTATTATGAGGATGTGCCAGCAGTGACAGTTGTCGTAGATGGGGGATGGAGCAAGCGCTCCCATAAACATACGTACAACGCATTGGGTGGAGTTGCAATTATTGTTGGACTTAAAACCAGGAAATTATTGCATGTAGGTGTCCGAAACAAATCATGTTATATTTGCAACCAGGCTACCAGGAACAAAGCTGCAACTCCACCCCATGAGTGTTTCAAAAACTGGGATGGTAGTAGCCAGGCCATGGAAAGTGACATCATAGTTGAAGGTTTTTGTCATGCAGAAACAAAACACGGATTGCACTATATGAAAGTGGTAGCCGATGGTGTCTCATCAATGTTTGCCAACATACAGGACCAAGTGCCCATATGGGGGAAGGCTGTAACCAAAATAGAATGTGCCAATCATGTGTGCAAATGTTTGAGGGGAAGCTTAGACAAATTAGTGGCAGAGAATTCTAATTACAAAGGTAAAAATCGTCTGACCAAAGCAACACGAGTTAGACTAACAAGTGCTGTAAGGTGTGCTATACGTGTTCGCTCTAAAAATAAAGAAAAAGACCCGGCAGCAGCTGCTAAGCAATTGTCTCACGACATTCGAAATTCTATACATCATATTTTTGGAAACCATAAAAACTGTTCAGATTTTTGCAAAGCAAAGAAATTCGACAACCATCAATCAACACAGCAAACAACTCCAGATATGGACACTAGCGCTAGCATTGACGATGTGGAAGAGGTTGTGTGTGAACAGATAGCTCTTTGGACAGACAGATCGTCAATAGAGGCACAGGAAGAGTCCAGGAAAGGTAATTATATATACATTTATTTATAATGCATACATTTTTAGCTCACCTGGTCCGAAGGGCCATGTGAGCTTATGTCGTACTGCGGCGTCTGTCGTCCGTCCTTCAACTTTTTCATTTCAGCGACTTCTTCTGAAGAACTGTACGACCTAGGGTCATGATATTTGGCCAGTAGGTACCTGGGATGGAGTGTTATAAATGTTCCTCATTAAAATGACCTTGACCTACTTTCAAGGTCACAGCGGTCAAATATGTTATAATTTTCATAAAACAATATCCTAAGAACCATTTGAACTAGAGTCATGATACTTGGTATATTATGTAGACCATCAGTGCATTTTTTTTGTTTAATTACAGTAATGATGTCAGAGGTCAACTTTAAGTGCAAGTATGGAGTTCAAAGTTCAATATTTGTTAACAGCTTTAAAATTAACATTTCAAGTTTTGAACAATAATATCTTCAGAACCGTTAAGAGATGTTAAAATGTTTTGTGTTTTAGTTACGGAATTTGGTCTTAAGTTACCTATATGTCAGTTTCATGTAACAAAAGAAACAGGTGAGCGATACAGGCCCTCTGTGCCTCTTGTTTAAATACACCCTTATCACCTGAAATTCACATAAACTGAACCGTTACAAATGTGTAATGTGGATATCATGCAATTGTAATACATTGTATTAGTGATGCATTTGGATCCGACAGACTTTACATATATATACATACTTGTATGGTGTAAAAGCATGCAAATTGTCGATACAGGGAATAATCCCTATTAAATTAATCAAAGAGGATGGATGTTATGGATCTCAAAAGTCAAGGTTACTGTGGCTGTAACTAGTATTCAACAAGGGGTGTAGTAGGTATTTCTTCAAGTGCACTGTGTAGTAGAACAAACAAATGGCTGTGCACTAGTGATGGGGCGATTATCCGTAATAATTGATTAATAAGTAATTGACACGTGTTGAAAATAAACCATGATAGGTGGAACTATAAATATGATTTATTTGGTGTAATTGTTTCCGGAAGTTATTGGTTGACTAATAACAAACTAGTATATTTATATCAAAATAATGTTTTCAAATTCATATTCAATTATGATTTTCGTGAAAAAAGATATTGGAAGTGGTCCAAAAAAACACCGCAAATGTTGCTATGGTGGCTACCACGGTAAATTGAATTTCTGAACTTAAGATTGGGGTAAAAATGACATTTGACCTCTTGTATGGATATATACATATTGAATATATATTATACATGCATATGGTATTTCTTTTTACAACAGGTTCACAACTACCATACAGTCAACTTGACAAAGATATGCTGACTGATGTCAGTATTCTGCTGAACCGTGTTGCTACGAAAGCAGATAGGTTGCTTGAGAATACCACAACGAATGTAGCCGAGGCCTGGATGCATATCCGATGCAAATTTGACGGTGGTAAAGTTGTCAACTTGTGTAATCGGGGTTCATGGCATGCGAGATGCTATGGCGCTGCCGTGAGACAGAATGCTGGTCCACAATGGGCACCAAAGGTATGGGAAGGAGCAACATCTACCTCACCTGGACATTACTTCACGCGTTTTTACAAAAGGAGCGAGAACTCATTGCTTTCCACCAAAAAATGTCTCCAAAAACCACAACAAGCAAGTCGTCGCTGGAAACGCAAAATGGAAGGCATAGCACAAAGCCAATCGAAAAAGGCCAAGTTAGCATATGGTCCAGATGCATTGAAGGTCACCAAGGATGTAGACGATGAGGCCCTGTCCACAGCCTGTGATAATTTCTTTCAGAAACATATAAATATACCACCAGAACGTATTAATTTAATCAAACAACAAACACAGCAGCAGTCATTCTCTCAAGTTTGGAAAACGGAGCGAAAAAAAAGGATAACAGCTTCAAATTTTGGAAAAGTCGCAAAGAGAAATCCTAGGATACCTGTAAAACCTCTAGTTAGGGAAATGATATATTCCAAATTTCAAGGAAATCAGTACACTCTTAAAGGAATCACTGCAGAAAGGGCTACAACACAAGAATACATACTTAAAAAAGGAGAGGAGGGTTCAAATGTCATTGTGCATAATGTAGGCTTGATCATTGATCCCACTTATANCTTTTTGTTGTTGTCAACAGACATCATGTCAAAGCTATAACGTTTTATATTTTGTATTGCCAACAGTAAGAAAAGAGTAGGTTCCTCATCAACAACAGAGTTGAGAACTGCTGTCTCAGTTGGTAGCGCTACTGCCCAGCCATACAGGTAATTGGTACTTATGTGTGTCAAAATAATTGCATGATAACTTGCCAACATTGGCAAATAATTTGAATACCTTATGAAATTATATATATATACGCAACAGGCAATAGTGTATAAAATCATATTAATCAAACAAAGGATTGTTGATTGGATTTATGACATTATTATTCGTTTTAATTTATAAATGAAAGATAAAACTACTAGAAGTACATATCAATAGGAAATAATGAAGTGAAATGTCTGGTGTATTGAGGCTACATTAATTATGAGTTTTCACTTTTAAGTATTTTTCATGTTATTGGGACAAAATGTGTTATATTAATCTTCAGATCACAGGAAGCAGCTTCTCATTCACCAACACAATCAACGAGTACCGCGACTGAATCTGTGAATACCTTACGTACACGTTCAGCAAGGTATTGTGGTAGTACGTTCTGTACCTGTCAATGATAATGGGGTTAAGTTACTTTGTTTTGATCATGAGGTATTGATATACACATCACACTGTGTTACATACAAGTAAGTCATAGCGGGTGGCCTTTTTTCTATGTTTATTAATTAAAATATTTCATTATTACAAAGAATAAACTTCAGTGTGAAACTGGGACCCAAACAACCAGCTAAAAATATTAAAAATGGAGAACACTGATTTATAACTTGTAAGGCTCTGTACACTACACCAGGGGTTTAAACACAAATGTTTGTTTTTATGTTTACTGCACATTGATATTTTGGTAATGTAAACAAATTCAATTGCAGATCCAATCGACAAAAATTTGTGGGACGGCGAATTAGCCACAAATGGATTGTAGATGAGGAGACCAATTCTACAGAGTGGTACAGTGGATCCGTTCTAGAGGTGATCAAGGGAAGTGATGGTGACAATGATGCTGTTTTTGAAGTACTGTATGATGGAGATGAAGAGACTTATGAAATAGGACATTTGATGGATGATTACAAGACATCATCAGTGAAATTCCTAGACTTGTAAAGGTATATCTTAAAATATGCAGATTTGAAGATTGTTATTGTTTAGATATCCTCACTGATCATATGCATGAAGCCAGATTTCGCCTGTAAAGTCGGTCATAAATTATGTATTGAATACAAATACAACATTAACATTTAATGAATGACTCAATGAATTCACACATAATTTTAGTTTATTTGATTTTCGTTTCAAAATTGTTTGTATGCATACATTTTGCTATTGATATCCTTGGAAGTTGGTATTAAGGGGGATAACTCTTACATTGGCTGATATGTATGGGCATCCATATATATCCACAAAGTAGTTCCATATCAAAATAAAATGGCTTCCATTTTTTTATAAACATCAATTTAAATACGACTTTGGTAGTTTAGAAATGTACTGTTCAACAGTTATTGGTGTGGCATGCTGTAATACATGCTGAAACCTTACTGGCTAAATGACTTTTGTTCTCATTAAACACTTCATAACACACACAGACTTGTTCAAATTCACAGTTATTATTACATGAAATTACTGATAAACTATCCAATATTTGCTATTAAACGCACATTAACTGGAAAGATATGTTTATGCCGGACATTTTGGTGTATAATAGTTGATTTTTTTTGTTATTTTCATGAAGTTTTGGTGAAAACAAAATCAGTATCCCAAACGGGGTCTTAAACCTTAACATATACATTTATATATTTACATTCTGCTTGCTTGAACCAATTCACGAAAATGACATTCATTTTTGCATAACACAAGTGACCTCATTACTGCGTATTGATACAGTACAATGACGTAGCACAGGGCGTACTTGGTTCACGTCTGCCATGAAAAATCCCTCGATGTAGTTTTGTTATGCTTACATGAATAAGCACTAAACATGATTGACTTGATTTTTAGACTAAAATAAGTTGTGTATAGTATATGATGATAATAAACGACTTGTTGAAATTCTACAAATTAAATTTTGACAATGGAATCTTTTTTTGTTTGTTTTGTTGTCATGCTGTTGCTAGGACCCCCAGCAAAAGCTTTATATTTTCCTGCGAAGCACGCTGCTTTCTCTACCACTTTTCAACATTCATGAGTTCATAACAACAATGGCTTTCTTGACATATTCCAAGAATCGCTTAAATATCATATCATAGTCATTTCTAATTTACTGTTATATTTATAATTCTCTATGCTTGGACCCTTTGACGGAAATGACATTCATTTTTGCATAACACATGTGACCTCATCACTGCGTACTGATATACTACAAACGATTCACTTGTTCACGTCCGCCATGAAACGGCCCTCGATGTAGTTTTGTTATGCTAATGGTTTAAAATATACATATTATTATGTAATGCAAAAAAACGTATGCAAGTATGAATGTAAGCTATACGTATAAATACATTATAGACCACCAAAGAACGAAAACATGAAAAACGGAAATTGACAAGATTATCATCATGTAATCGAACAAGCGCTTAACACACAAGTGAAGATTTTATCATGGTAAAGCTAAACGGAAAGCTCATTATGATCGAGATATGAACGGATAACGCAACAATATACCTAGAGTATAACGCACTGATGTCACTGTTATATTAAGACTACACGCAGAGCTTCAGATTCCCCGAGAACTCCGATATAATACCAAAACACAAACGTAAACATGGACAGTATCATGAATGGCACGTTGTTCTCTCTGTTCTGACTGTGCGGGTTTTGATATTTTGTATTATAACATGCTAGCACTGTGGATGGTACAAATTGTCTCTGATATCTTCAGTTTCAATTGCGTTAAAAAGTAGTTTTAACTATCCGTTCACTAAGACGACATTGAAGGTTTCAGTTAGGCATGACGTCTTTTGGGTAGAAACAGCCACCATTTTTCCAGAGCCAGCCAGCTATGTCCGGATAAGTGTGATTTGCATGCTTGTCCGTGTTGAGTTTCTCACAGACCTGACATATAGCCCTCTGGTACATTGACGTTTTTGGTAAAATGGTATATTGGTTCTTACGTTGCAGAAGTTCCCGATATTGGTCCCGATGTCTGTCTATTTCAATGACATAGTCAGCCAGTTCCTTAACCGTGGAAAAGTCATTCGTATTTATATAAGTCCCTACAGGAAGGAACGAGCTGTAATGCGACCCTCCACGAACAATCGGTACTATGTTTTCTGTATAGGGTATGAAGGCTTTCTCTGTTATATAATCTGTACAAAAAGAATTTTCAAAGGATAAGACGAATTTATGCTCTTTTGCCATTTTCTGGAAACATAAATCAGGGTTTTCCCAATCACCACAATAGTAGTTTCCGCACTTGCCAAACGTATTGAGATCGTTTATATAACCTTTTAAATAATTCACGAAACTGTCCCTGTCACTAGCTGCGTTGCAGTGAGACACCGCCCAAGAAATAGCATATTTCTTAGATTTCAAAATGCGAGTGTAATTCTGTTTATCTTCAAAATCTTCCTTCTTCACGACTTCAGAATAAGGAAAATAAATATCCGAGTCCTTCCGATATGTCATGGTCCAATTAAATACGGACTTCCAAGCAGGAAGTTTGTAATTTGATCCATAATGCAATGGACTTTCCAAACCAAGCATCACCCATGTTTGACCAGGTGACCTGATGATAGGAATTCTGTCGAGCGAAGGGCCATCAAATATTATGACGTCACTAATACTGTGGAGGTATTTGTCTATGGTCCATTGACAGTTGTTGTACGTACACTGTTTCGGGTCTGTCCTTCTGTAAAGATCAACCAACCACGGAGGAGGGCTATGAAGAGACACTAAAAACGACTTATTGATAGACATCTTCGGTATGTTCCGTACTTTAACATCAGGAGCAGGCTTTGTGACTGAAATGTATGTTAGAGGAGCAATAAACAGGTTCAAAACAACAGCAATGACCAAGAACATCCTCAATTGGTAACGCCATCCACAGCTCCGTCTGCTGTAGCCTGAAACACAAAAATGTAGAAAGAGTAAGCATTCCATTTTTTTAAATTTTTTTTGTATTCTTTATGTTAAAACTGCTTCGATTGAAACTCTTCTGGGAAAGATTATGAAAGAATGTCTCATTCCTTTATATGATTAATACAGAACATAGAAATACTCTATTCCAAAATGATGAAACTCAAATACAGTTGATGACATCATAATAACAAAATTCTGGTGCATTCCGTTATCGGGTTTGTCCAGCTTGAAAATATTTAAGAACTACTTCAAAGAATCAAAAATTAATCAAGTCGAATGAAAGATCGAGTATCTGTCGTACAAAGACCTAGTTGGAATAAATCACATGTGTTATCTCCCTTTGTAAGCATTTTCAATACACGTAAAAAAAAAACACCTAATAGTGTTTTGACGGAATCTTTCGGACATTATGTGTTGGAAAAGATGAATAGATGAATACTTTGGAAACCCAATTACAAAACTTTTTTGTTTATAAGCCAGTCGTTTCTGTCTTAAACTTAACCTATATAAGGTTTGAAGTGTAAACAATGTAGTATGTAAACATCAAACATGTGGCTAGTACACATTATCTCGGTACCTTTAGACAAAGCTTTGTAAACACCTTGACCGCGGGGTCACGCGTGCAGACAGTTTACATCTGAATTGTGTACATGTAAACAACATAAATAACTTTGTTTGTTACTAATATGAAAGAAACTTTGTGTATCAATTACAATCATTATTCACTAGTGCGAGTATAAGCGAACAAAACTTACCCAATTCGGAATATTATAAATCCTGTCCAATTGAATAGTACAGGCACATGGTTAGACACAACTATAAAACTAGAAAATAATCTGGACAAATTTTCCGGAATATATGTGTAACTCTTTTTATGTCACTTACATGTTCACATACCTAAATAAAATACCTATACAATGTAAGTCATTACAAACTTTACGGATGTATGAAAGTGGACGAGTGGAATTAGTGGGGTTCTTTCAATCATAGGCATTACAAGTGAATTATATACATACGGACTTGATTAGAAATTGTTAATCGAATACTATCATTAGATAAACAAAATGAGTCTTTACTTTTTTGTATTGTTAAGAATAATTGTAATAAAAAATAAAATTCAAAAAACCTAGTAATATACCGCGTGCATGTAGGTAATGGACGTCCTCATTCTTGTCCGGGTGCAAAGTAAAAGACTTCACAGGGACATGACACAGACGGATACAGTGTTGGCGTGGCTGATACATGCATGCACGGGGACAACTTACAAACTTAATATAACTATATAAAATATATATTTATATATAACACATGTATAAACATAGCTATTGAATGTAAGGTGTACGAATAGTGAAAGACCACCTGCGAGTGGACACTTTATTGTTCGGGGGGGCTGATCCCAGGGCTCCTCAACTCTGGCAGCCTTCAACAACCACTGAATATTCGCATATGCATATGTCAAAGATCTATGAAAATGAGAATATCAAAATGCTGAGGAATTAAAATTTGTATAAAAAACAACAAAAAACATGTGGCTAGTACACATTATCTCGGTACCTTTAGACAAAACTTACTGCAGACATCTGAATTAAGGAAGGAATAATCTCACACGTGATTGTAGGAATCCAAGAATAACTTCACACGTGATTGTAGGAATCCAAGAATAACCTCACACGTGATTGTAGGAATCCAAGAATAATCTCACATGTGATTGTAGGAATCCAAGAATAACCTCACACGTGATTGTAGGAATCCAAGAATAACCTCACACGTGATTGTAGTAGTCGAAGAATAACCTCACACGTGATTGTAGGAATCCAAGAATAATCTCACACGTGATTGTAGGAATCCAAGAATAAACTCACACGTGATTGTAGGAATCAAAGAATAATCTCACTGGTACATGTACCGAGATATTTCTATTTTACATGATGCTTTCGATGTGGTTTCGATGGTACTGTCTTTATAGATGTTCTGCCATAAGTTTCCCTTCATATTAGATTTATGATACAAGTTTTGGATTTTTCATTTTTGCTAGCCTCTGGCGAGCAAATATGAAAAATCCAAAACGACAATCATAAATCTAATATGAAGGGAAACGAATGAAAGATTCATTTTATTATACAATGCAAAGTAAACTGTATAATTGTGATCTGAAACGAATATTTAGCACTTGGCCGCCTCTGAAACGATGAAAATTGCGTCCGTTTCACAATGACGTGACGTCACATTGATTGTTCCTATTCGATTGTGACGTCTTTTCTGGAGTGATATTACTTATTACGTTACATTAATATAAGGTATGTGATGGGTTTATGACACTTCATAACACGGTATTCATATGATAAAAAATAATGGGTTCTCAATATAAAGGATTTTCCAATTTTTCCAATTTCAATTTTCCAAAGATGCAGGTTTGTGAAGACTATGTTTCCTTATTATCCATTCTGTTTCTTCATTATAAGCCTAATACGAAAACCATATACGTATTTGTGTTGGTTCGTAGCGTAACAGTTTTGGAAATGATGATATAAACATTGTAAGGGAAACAATAACCTGTAACATTATTTCAAAACACATTTTTAAAATCCCAAAGAAATAACCGGAACCTCCTGACATATTTGATGTGTATACATCAAACCGGAAGTCAAGGATTGCATCGTACTAACGCAATATGAATAGGTATTTGTTTTCATAACGCTAAAAGGCCCAACCATCATATTTTACCCGTCTCTTAAATATTCCCGTTATCATAGATAACGTTATGACAGTGGGCTGTTAACCACAGTGTGTATTTTAACATGTATATGCCACCGCAGAGCTCCCGAATCATTGGCTCCGCTGTGTCGCAAATGTGTTTAGTCATTTCATTTGCTTGTGTATATACATTCTCTACTTATTTACATGTGACCAAATTATTTTGGATATCACATAATTAGATAACCTCTTATTTCATCTTTAAGATGGAGCACATCTCCTAGTTATTAATATGAAAAGATGCTGGAACGATATGCAAAGTAGTATGCAAAGGCTCATAATTGTCAATTTACCGATAACTCATACACAAGTGTCTATGACGTATATAGCAGGCGTTTAATGAATATGAATGAAAATTGAGCTAATTTACATGAAGTTTTACTTTACATTATATAGTTATTTAAAGAGGTGGGTCATTCGTGATGGGTTGGACAGGTATTTTACTTATCTAAATGTAGATGAGTAAAATTCTAGTGATCTATATGCAAAACAGAGAAGATGAGATGCATGCTTTGCCTTGTATTTCAAAGGCAATATGTTAATTAGCTCCTTTCATTAATGATGGCCGCATCATTTCTGTTTTGGATACAATCTAATGGAAACATTAATTTGTATGTGCATTCCACTGTATGGACATAATTACCATGTGTAAACTCTTAGCAAATATTTATGAATTACGACTTCATCAGGAACAATATTACTACGCTTGTCCAATAAGCAGATATCTACCACTTCAGTTAGAACATAATAACCGTGCTTAACCAATCAGCGGACATCTATCACTTCATTATCAATAATCACCGCGCTTTACCAATCAGCGGACATCTATCACTTCATTGTGAATAATAACCGTGCTTAACCAACAGCGGACATCTATCACTTCATTGTGAATACTAACCGCGCTTAACCATCAGCGGACATCTATCACTTCATTCTGAATAATTGCCGCGCGTTACAAATCAGCGGACATCTATCACTTCATTATGGAAAATTGCCGCGCTTTACAAATCAGCGACATCTATCACCGCATAGTGAATAATGACCGTGCTTAACCAATCAACGGAAATCTATCACTTCATTATGAAAAATTGCCGCGCTTTACAAATCAGCGACATCTATCACAGCATAGTGAATGATGACCGTGCTTAACCAATCAGAGGACATCTATCACTTCATTATGAAAAATTGCCGCGCTTTACAAATCGGCGGACATCTATCACTTCATTATGGAAAATTGCCGCGCTTTACAAATCGGCGGACATCTATCACTTCATTGTGAATAATTACCGCGATTAACCAATCAGCGGACATCTATCTCTTCATTATGAATAATTGCCGCGGTTTACAAATCAGCGGACATCTATCACTTCATTATCAATAATCACAGCGCTTTACCAATCAGCGGACATCTATCACTTCATTCTGAATAATTGCCGCGCGTTACAAATCAGCGGACATCTATCACTGCATTGTGAATAATTACCGTGCTTAACCAATCAGAGGACATCTATCACTTCATTATCAATAATCACCGCGCTTTCCCAATCAGCGGACATCTATCACTGCATTGTGAATAATTACCGTGCTTAACAAATCAGCGACATCTATCACAGCATAGTGAATAATGACCGTGCTTAACCAATCAACGGACATCTATCACTTCATTATGAAAAATTGCCGCGCTTTACAAATCAGCGACATCTATCACTTCATTGTGAATAATAACCGCGCTTAACCAACAGCGGACATCTATCACTTCATTGTGAATAATTACCGTGCTTAACAAATCAGCGACATCTATCACAGCATAGTGAATAATTACCATGCTTAACCAATCAGCGGACATCTATCACTTCATTGTGAATAATTACCGTGCTTAACCAATCAGCGGACATCTATCCCTTCATTGTGAATAATAACCGTGCGTAACCAATCAGCGGACATCTATCACTTAATTGTGAATAATTACCGTGCTTAACCAATCAGCGGACACATATTACTTCATTGTGAATAATTACCGTGCTTAACCAATCAGCGGACACCTATTACTTCATTGTGGACAAATAATCTAGTAATTCTAAATTATCAGTTACTTACTTAAACCAAAATGACTTACGCGCAGAAATAATGTTACCAACAAATAGAACTTCATATATTTAACCATGAATTTTACTAGTTCTTTTGGCAGCAGATATCGTTTTGATTTTTGAATAAGGGCCGATTTTGCAAT